AGAGGCGTCGGAGTCACGTTACGCCCGGAGCGGGCGCCGCGGCTGCCGGACCCACAGGTGCCCGCCCGGCCCGACATGACGGGGCTGGGGCCGGACCAGGAGTTCGACTTTGAGTTCCTCTTTGAGTTCGACCAGAGCGACGAGGGCGCCACTGCGGCCACCGGAGGTGGGCCGGGCGCGGGGGGTGCGGGGGCGCAGCGGGCGCGAGCCGAGGACTTAGGCGGCGGAGAAGCAGTGTCCCCGCGGCCGGGTCCCGGCTCTGGGCGCCGCGGGCCGAGGGAAATGCGTCGTATAGCGGCGGGAGAGGGCCGGGCCGGAGAGGCCGCCGCGCCTTCAGGTGTGTGGACCCGGCGCCCCTGCACCTTGTCCAGGTTCCCAGACCAGGCACTTGGAAGAGGGGCCGGCCGGTCCCGGCGAGGCAGAGGGACGGGTTGTTCAAGGGGAAGCGAGTGTCGGGGGCACGGAGCTCGGAAACTGTGACCCGGGCACAGATGGTCAGCGGCGTTGCCAGACGTGCTTCGCCGCTAGGACGGCAGCTCCTGCCACTGGGCCGGATCTTGCCCGGCCCGCCTGTCCGGGAGGCCAGAACCGCGGGCGGCCCGCTTCCCGCAGCCTGTAACTCGAGAGCACCTGCAAGGACGACAACGGAAAACCCAGCGCAGCTCTGCCTGCGTGCGTATTGCCTCCTAAAGAGAAGAGGTTAAGGGGTTGAGCTTTGAAGTTTGCGCCAAATTGCACGAAAGGAGAGCCTCTTCTTTCATTTTCTCTTTTTTCTGTCAAAAATAAAGATTCCAGTTAAGCAGATAAACAGGCCACAGATAAACTAAAGAACTCCCAGAATGGATGCCCTGATGGCCCCTAAGCTATTGGATGACGGTAACCCTTTTGTGGATCTCATCGCCATCTGTGGCTCCTGCTGGGACCTGGGCTGCCCTGAATAACTGGCCACCCAGAGCCCTCCACCACCGCCTCTCCTCTCCATTCAAGTGACAAGCATCCACGATTGTAGATGGGAGATGAAGGGGTGGGGACTCAGTACTCATAGTTGGTGAAGACAGACCATATGTGATTATAATAAGGGTATAATATTTTCCATATCAGTCAGGATTCCTCTTTGAAAAAGTCTAATGTGTTTTATCTTTTAAGAATAGACGTTCCAGCTGGGCACACATGGCCTGATCTGCATTACCGGCCATATCTGAGTGGCTCCCTCACTCAGTTCCCTTTTCTGTGGACTGGCTGAGGCCAGCTGGAGCCAAGGCTGGCGAGCATGGGGGAGAGCTGGGACTGGAAGTAGAAAAGCCTGGCCCATAGAGGCACTTTTTACTTTCTTGCTTTGAATTATGCTGGCCTGTGGCACTGGGCATAGTTTTGTAAGTTCTCTCTGGAGTTCTCTTTAATCCTCTTGCTCTTTGCATCAGTGTATTTTCAGAAGAGCTTCTTAACACCACTCAGCCCCCTTTTCAGTTCATTTAGCAAGCATGCACTAGTAAGAGTAGTAATTCGGAAACAGGGAACCCACTTCTGACCTGTCATGGGGTAGAAATGGCCTGTTGAGGAGTGCTTTCTGCGTCTGTTTTAGAATCCTGTTTGCACATGTGGCTGGTCTTTGGTTGTCCCTCAGCCACTCCCATCCTCAAGGATGATACCTCAGCGGGAGACCAGGCAGACCTTCGTGAGGGTGATTCTCACAGTTCCCAGGGGCCTGCACCTCCGGATGCCCCTACTTGCATGGTTACTCAGCATGAATAACTAATACTGAACCCCTGCCTGTCCATGTTCCAGCATCTGATGCTGTGCTGCACAAGTGCCTGGCGGGACGGAGCCAGCTCTGCAGGTCTCTCCTGAATCTTCCGGTGACTTTCAGGACTGGTGAGGGAGAGGTCAGGCCCTACCCCGGCCTGTAGGGGAGGAAACAGATCAGCTGGGTGAATGTCCCCGGGGGTCTGGGTTCATTAGTGTCCCATGGTTTCATGCCTAGTCTGAAGGAGTGGGGCTCACTGGCATCAGCCGATGAGACTCTGGGTAGCTTGCTCCCCACCCCCCGCCACGATCTGAGAGGCTGGTTGACCCCTAGGGAAACCTCCCCTTGCCCTGCTGGGTGCCTACCCAAAAATGGTTCTTGTTGGCCTTGATCTGAGAGAAACAGAACAAGTGAGGAGAGGGAGCACGTCTCACCTGCAATGCTTTGTTCTCCAGAGCCCCAGGCAGCGCTGCATCCTGCAGAGCAGCTGCGCCCTTCTTGTTCAGAGTTCAGGTTAGAACTGGGCCGAGAGAGTCTCAAGGTTGCTTTAAGCATTACTGTGCCCCCACCCCAACCTTCTCAGGGAGAAAACTCCAGCTAATGCCTCCTGGAGCCCAGCAGGTCCAGGGAGGCCTGGACCCGGAAGGCCTCATGGGCTCCTGCCCTTGGGCGCAGCTTTTACCTGGGCTGGGGGGAAGGAGGCTCAGGTGAAGGGAGAGAGCTGAGGGCAGGGAGACCCCACGGAGGTGGAAAGGTCCCTTCCTCCTTTTAGTGGTAATCAGAAAGCAGTTCCAGAAAACATTTCTTTTTTATGTTTCTTGTAGAGACATTCATGCTTTTTTCTTCTGTTTTTTTTATTATCAGATTAATTTTTACATCACATTGCTATATGTATTAAATTCTCACATTAAATCCCACAGCCCTTAGTGGGTGGTAGAAATGGCTTCACATTATTTCTGAGAGGAGTCTGCATATAAATAAATGAATGAATAAGTAGAATTGAGCTAGACTGAGAAGCAAGGTGATGCTGTGTTTTATAGATGACACTGAACATGGAAATTTATACATTGTTACAAAGGGCACAATGGCACGTGAAGCCCCTGTCTCACGAGCTGTCACTCATGAAGGCGATGCCCTGTCCAGCTGAGTTCACAGCAGGTACCCTACCAAAGGGCTGGCTGAGGGAGGCTGGGCCTGCTGGTTCTGAGCAGTCCAGAGACGTTGGTGTGGCCAGCTGGTGGACGGGAGCATTAGTCCTGCCTCGTGGTGGCCCCTGTTTGTGTCTGTCATCCCCTTTCTGCTTTTATTCAGCTTTTTGCTCATCCAGGCCTGATCTCTCAGTAGGTGCTCTGAGGAAGGGAGGGGCTTATTTATCTTTACTTCTGAAGCACTCAGCGAGTGCAAGTAGTGCAAATAGTGGCTAGTTACTAACTATTGGTTGGGAAAAAGAATTCTGTTTTTAATTTTGCCCCGGGCAGGGAAGGGGCCGTGTTCCCCAGCCCAGCGCCAAGGAGGAGCAGCAGGCGCTGGGGGGCTCCTTCTGCCCTCTCGGGGTGGGCTCCCCCGCGGCCCTGAGTGGAAGGAAATCACTTGGTTTGCTGTCAGCTGTTCGGTAGGTGTGGCCACCACTTCCCGCCTTCAGGCGCTTGTTTTCGAAGTTATTTTGGCCTGCCCAGTGCTGCCAGCATTGTCGCCGTGGCAACTCGGAGGAAACTGGTGAGGCCTCTGGGCGGCGGTCTGGACTCCCGCCAGTGGAGACACCTCAGGGCTGTGGTGGCGACCTTTGCCTCTCTCTGCTCCACTGGTGCTGTGTCGTGTGCACTGGGAGGAGTGACAGTCTGGAAGAATTTTTATTTTCAGCAACATTCTTACCCAAGGGCAGTGGCGTCTCTCCACCCAGGAGCCCACTGTCGTGTGGGCTGGTCAGGCTCGGGCAGGAAACCCACAGGGAGGAGCCTGCAGGAACACGGCTCCTGCTCGTCAGCACTGCCTAGCAAGGAAGATCTCAGAAGAGAATTAAATTTGGAAAGTGTGTTGGCTATAGCCCAGCACTTTAGGGAAAGCGGTAAGCTCTTGAAGACAGCAGCCCCGCTTTTTCCAGTTTACCTGGCCGACAGTTCTGAGATGGCAGGTTGCGGTGGAGCCATTTGGATGATCAGGATATTTTAGCTTTCTATCGTTTCCTCAACGGGAGAGCACAGCTACTAGCGAACAACATGAATGCTTCTTAATTCCTTGGAAATAGAGACTGTGAAGATGATTGCTTGACATGATAGTGAGGACAGTTTGGGGGGCGTTTCAGTGTCTCCTGAAGGGCAGTGTGTCAGCGGCCACATCCTGGGTGGGCTGAAGGACCCTTGAAAGGCTACTGTGTGTTTATTTATATAACATTAAATATTGTTTGTTTGCTACTGTAATGAGGCCATTCTAGCTGCCTTTGTAAATCTCCTCAGTGGCAGATTGTTGAGCGGACGGTGGAAAGCTGCTGTCGCTGTCTGTCACGCCGTGTTGCCACAGCCTTCCCAGGCTGCTGTGGAGGTCACTGGGTGGGCGCACTAGGTAAACAGCTTCCAGTGGTGCAGCCAGGGACTTTGATAGCTGTTATTTTTTAAAGTTCCAGTACGTGCAAAGTTATGTTCTTGCCAGTGTCTGTAACGGCCTCCACTGCAAAGAAGATGCAGCATCTGGAGGCCCGAGTCCGGCCACTGACCCTTCCCGGCCTGTGTCTGGTGTCATGGTTTATGGCTCCACTGCAGCTGCTGCTAAGGGGGCTGTTCTTGAGGATGAGAATCAAACACCATTTGTGAAGGATGAAAGTACTGCCAGGAAAACCCAGGATGGCCCTAGACCCACACCTTCCCCTCCCTCCCCTCCCCCCTCCTGTTGGTGCACATCTGAGGGCTGCAGCCTGGAGACCTGTCGCCTTGCCATGTGGGAAGTTTGGTGGAAACTCTGACATATAAACTGACTAAGGGCAGGTTCCCCTACAGTAAGTGGGGAGTGGTCTTCTTGGGGGAATAAGGCCCACTTGCAGTTTTTCTTTGTCTTAATAGGAGGTGTATCAATGTACTTTCTTTGCAGTTGTTGAGAAGTAAAATCACATGCTTCTGAAGTAAATTACTGCTCAGTGTGAGACAAAATACTGCTGGCACCTCTGGTTTGTTGAATTTGCTGAGGCCAATGGCAGCTGGGCCTACCTGAGGGCGTGTCTCCTTCTGTGCTGCCCAGGCCTCCCCCCACCAGCACACCATCACCATGCTCAGTCACTGCAGAGGAGGGTGGCTGAGTGGGGTGCGTTCAGCCTGAATACTCTGAACATTTGAGGAATAAGGAGAATGCAGATCGTGTATTCAAAGGACAAGCCACATTTTTGCCACATTTTACTATATTAAATAATTTTGAATATGCTCTCCATAATATTT